TCCCACTTTTGAACATTCAATCGAGTTCATACCAACCGGAACACATTATGCCCTTTGCCCTTGGTTTCAAGTTTCTTTCTTGTGCTCTTAAAACTTCATTCGCCCACCCAACCACACCTTGCCTTCCCTTTCCCTTGAAATTTTGGGTGCCGTGCACCAGCCTCTCCTGCCCGCTGTCCAAAATGCGATTAAATTATTGGAAAGCTTGCATACTCCCCAGCTGTCAAACCCCCGATGCCCACCTCACCAGGGCGGGACTGCTGCACCAAAGATCCCTGGGCACTCCAAGGAGCCCGGCACCAGCTTTGTGTGTCACTGCGGCGTCCACCGACCTCTATGGCCCATCTTCGCTACGAGATTTCCCAACGATCCAAACAGCCAACCTCACCCCAGTGTCGATTCGATGCTGAATGTACAGAATAGTGTGATCCCTTATCAGGGACGGCAACTGTCAGCTAATCACGAACGCGGGGTATCTTCACGGTATCCTATGAGGTATGGTGCGGTAACCAGCAGAGGTCACTAGCCATTGACCCCAGCACCGCCTCGCTCTCACGGAAGGCAGCGATCTCGTCAAACATGCGCAAAAATGCTGTTTGATATCTGGTGTGAGTGCCCTCGTCGTAAAAGCTCTCAAAAGAAGCCTCACCAAATGACAACGCCCTCGCTTGTGGGTCAATAGTAGAAAACAGGCCAGATGACACAGTCCTGACACAATCTGCTCAAAATCCAACTGTGTACTTTCGGCAAATGTGGTCCCAAAAGTACACAGTTAGTAAACACAGTGACACAGTTTTAACCGTGCATCCTAGGAAACTGTGTAGTCTACACAGTTGTTTGAGGGTACACGGTTGAAACTCTGTCAATGTGCGTACTAATTGTGTACTTTTGGGACCACATTTGCCGAAAGTACACAGTTGGATTTTGAGCAGATTGTGTCAGGACTGTGTCATCTGGCCTGTTTTCTACTATTGACCCACAAGCGAGGGCGTTGTCATTTGGTGAGGCTTCTTTTGAGAGCTTTTACGACGAGGGCACTCACACCAGATATCAAACAGCATTTTTGCGCATGTTTGACGAGATCGCTGCCTTCCGTGAGAGCGAGGCGGTGCTGGGGTCAATGGCTAGTGACCTCTGCTGGTTACCGCCCCATACCCAATAGGATGCCGGTGTAGTGAGGCCATTTGTTCGCCCGTTCACATGTGAATGTCCAACAGCAGGCTTGGTTTTTATGTTTACGTTTACGTTTTTACTTTTACGTTTTTACTTGTAAAAACGTAGATCTGCAAAGGGCCCTATTTTTAGGGTTGTTTTTACGTTTTTACGGCTCCCTGGGACGCCCAGATTGCACGATGAAAGTTGGTACAATGATCAGTCATCCGCCATATACAGCACCTGCAACACAGTGTCCACCTCGCCCTTGGCAAGGGCGATAATGGTGTTTAACAAAAACTCGTTTTCTACCCCTTCCAGGGCGTCTGGCTGCCACTCCCCGGACTCCGTATGTCTGTATGTACTGTACTTATGTAAACCGGACAGTTTTTACGTTGTATTTACGTATTTTTTACGCATTTTTATGCGTAAAAACGTAAAAACTGTTTTTACGTGTAAAAACGTAAATACAATCAGTTTTTACGTTGTAAAAACCAAGCCTGTCCAACAGGAGTAACGGGAGCCGTTAGTGCAATATCGTGGCTACATTGCCACTGATGCAATGCAGAGCTACGTTTTAGTAAATGCCCACATGCAGACGAGCGTCAAGCGTGTGCGAACTGTGCGTCAATGCTGATACACACACGTTGCCGCGCCATTGTCCGGCATTGCATCATGGACACCCTACACAATATTGCAACAGCCTCTACAATACTGCGGATGTTGAACAGACCCACCTTGAGTGACAAGCCCCGATACGTATTCAGCGCGTCCATATACGGCGCGACACTCCTGATTGAAGCCCCGCCAAAGTACCGTACCGCACTGTCAAAAGCGTACCCCACTGTACACGAGATGCACACGCGATGGCCCTCTCGTAGTCCGTTTCCGCCTCCATTCCCCGTCATTGGCGACGGGAGACAACAGATCGCTTCATGTCCAAGGAATTCACCCGCGGGGTGCCGCCTGTCCGACCCCCGCCGCCCCACCCCCTGCCCACCCACTACCAACTATATCAAAGCCCCTCCCCACTTTTCCTCGACGCCAGCGCGAGGCCTACGGGTCGCAGTGACCAAGTCCCGGAGCCGATACTCTTCCTCCTCTGCCGCCCTATCGACGCCTCCGACCGCGTCCACGGGCCGCTGAGCGCCTTGCCGGCGAAGGGAAGGAACCCCGGAGACCGTCTTTGCTGTGGCTGCGCCGTGTGACTTTTCCTTGCATCAGAGGCGGTCAATCAAGGTGCGACCCCACCTCCCGCCCCACGACCCCCCCGCCTGCCCCCGCCTCCGCTCTAGTGCCCAAGCGAAGGTCCAGGGGCACTACCGGGGCGAGCTGAAGAGGTTCCCAGCTGGCCCCCCGCCCCCCGTCCACCGTCCCCCGTTCCCCGTCCCTCGCCCTCCGCCTTCGCCGGGCCGCGAAGATGCGGCTCCGAATCAGGTGTCATCACTCACCGCGGCACTCGACGCTATGCCGCACCGGTCCCCACCCTCCGGACCAAGAAACCAGCTTCCGAATGTTCTTTCTCACCTTTTTCCCAACAGCGACGGGCGGCCCCCGTGTCACAATTCGCCTCACACCCGAGGCTCCCTCCCGCTCCCCGCTCTGGACACGTTCGGTCACGTCCCTGTGGAGTCACTCACCGTTGTCATTCTTACTTCATCCCAGATGGCCTTCACACGGCGCGGATGGAGCGCCTGGGACATGCTAGCCGTGTTGGTGGTCTCCACTTTGGTGAGTACTCCCCCCCGACCCCAACCCCACCCGGCCCCTTGAATTCTATTCACCCCTACCCGCACACGCCTCGGTACAGTCTGGCACCCTCGAGTACAGCAGGACCTGCCCTTCCCCAGGTGCTCCCCTTCTTGCTTTCCTCCTCGTCTTCCCACCGCTCTTTGGCCGTTCTTGTGTCTGCCTGAAGAGGTGCCCGCCCATGCCAGGATGCGGCCTTGCGCTCACTTGGCCCTCTAGTCACTTCTCCTGCTGGGCTTCCTTCCAATTTTCTCATTGGCCCCAGAGCACCACCCAGCACCGTCATCGTGCCCCTTTGAGAGCTGGCCCAAGAGCTGTTCCCCACACCATTCATGTTCTCCTGGGCCAAGCAAGTGCAGCACATTTGCTTCCATTCTCTCCTCCTTCCAACTCCCTTGGACCAAGCCCTCTTATGTTTGCTGCTGCCTTCCTCCATTCAGTGCTGCACGTGGGGGCGCGACCTGCTTCAAGGCGAAATTCCTACCAAGATACGTGGGCCGTTCGATGCTGAAGGGCCTGACGACTGTAGCCAGATCTGCTTGGACACAGCAGGCAAGTCAGCTGGAGCTCCTCTGCTGTGCATGGTTTTCCTGAAGCACTGTGCACCATGGGTGGGTTTGCCCTGTGCCCCTGTCCTCTGTTACACCTTGAGTGGTTGCATGACACAGTTTGTGGGTGGAAAACGTTGCGCCCTGAGGACAGGATTCCGCAGAACAAGGATATGTTTGAAGCAGTCCAGGACAAGTAGAAAACACACCCCACTAGGCAGTCTCCAATGACATGCACACAACTGAGGATGTTGACGCACGATGCTGCACACCTCTGGATTTTAGCCCCCACACTGGCAGGCACCTAACAACACGTCATTCTTTGGCAACCCTTGGATGCTTCACACCAGAAAGGCTGTGCTGACCAGTTGGGTCTTTCAGGCAGTAGAGCTTGGGGTTATTGTGCTTGCGGTGTTTGGGATGTGCGCCAGCCGCATACATCAACACATGCCATGCATTCAACACATGCAGCACGTTCAGACCCTTCTGAGCAATGGGGCTATTTGGATCAGTGTTGGGACTGGGTTTTCAACAGTTTCTGAACGGAGCTTGTCCAGAACCCAACCTACTGGATTCATGGCAGTCATGAACAGAAAATGTTCTTTTGAAGTGATGAATGGTTGCTGGGGCCTGGCCAACACACAGACTCAAATCCATCTGTGTGAGTGCCTAATTGTGGACTGTCATTGGCCCAGCAATTGTGCAAACCACATCCAGCAGCATTATTGGCGTGACCTGATGGTGCTGCACAACACTATCCACGAGCCTGTTCAGCCTTGTCAGATCCCTGCACACCGAATCTACCAATAGATGCATGTGATCATTCATTGCACACATTTTTGTATATTGCCTTGTCGGAGGAGCCAACCCCATCCTGCCATCACCTTGCTATTATTCATCCCACGACGAGGATCTGAGTGCTCTCATCGTACATTTGCTTTCTTCCATAGCCGGTGCAAGTCCTCATGGACTGCACATGGAATGGTTATTCGGTACATCAGTAATTTACCTTTACATAATTCCTCAATCAGGAAAAGAATGCTTTCCCTACCTGTACCTGGCATGTCTAGTGTTGTATTCTTCTATTTTGTATTTGGTACGTCCAAGGTACTATTGTATTGTGTTGTTGTTTCCGGTTTTTACTTATTGTTTTAACCACTGTTTTCATTCCTTGCTGGTTGTCCATGCGTTGCATGGGCTGGTTGCATGAGTCAGACATGCACATCTCAAAAACAAAAAAAATTTGGCAGGTTATGTTGCGAATGGTCACATATTCATAAGGATTTGCAAGTTTTATTTTCAGTGTGCTGATGGTGGCCCATGGACATCTAAACCTAGCAAAGCGCATTAGTCTACCAGCAGCCAACAATATCCTAACAGGTCTGGCAACTGCCACCACTCATTGCCATTTCATGGCACCAATGCACCCATTTTGGCTCAGAACTTAGTTGCTTTACTTGCGTGCGTTCAGGATGCAATGGGTACAGGTGGCAAAGCGGTCAGTGCAACGTGACCGTATTTGCCGATGCCCCACCACCGCCCGACAGCCCCATGGACACGCCCGAGCCTGACCTCCCGGCCCCAGATGGCGCACCAATCCCTGCACCTGGCCCTAGCGCGTTTGGAACGTCGCCGGAGCCCGTTGGTCCACCTTCGAATTTGAACAGTTCCGTTCCCATGTCGCCTGAAGAAATCCAAGGTGAGAGGCCTAAAAGACGACAATGAGATTGGCAAAATGCAATATCTGTTTCTGGGAATATTCCATGCCTGCGTTTGAATTGGATAAGCTGCTGTTTGGTCAAATTGAAGCAAACAGTGTTTTGAAACAGGCTGTGATTAGATACAATATGTGGGACAGCCACAGCGGGGCATCTGATCAAAACGGAGAACGTGCACATGTCACTTATGAACTGATTGGCATTGCGTGAATGCAAACAGGCTTGAAATGTGGTTGCACGTTGCTGAAATTGAGATACAGTTGTTTGGTTACAAAGAAATGGTGGTCCTGGCATACGCTATGCCGCCGCAGAATTCTTGTCTGGCAAAATCGACAATTTCTTCTCCCTGACAGACCTCGAGTTGACCCAGGGAGGCAATACGCAATGTCACACAGATACGAACAGCACCACATTCGCCCACTGCCTAAGGCGGTGGCATACCCACAGGGTGATCATCTGCCACGATGCTTAGGCGTGCGTGCCTATAGGGCTGCTACCCGAATACGTCGTCCCTGGCGAGGAGCGAGGCCCACTGCCATCGCGAGTGTCGACATGGCAATCGGCCTCCCCCCTTGCGTACACGGCGCAAGCTTGCCTTAAGGGGACGGCAGGGCCCAAGAGTAGTCGGTTCATGAGTGCTAAATGCATCAGAAGTCCCCACCGGAATTTATTGTTGCCATATTCCGATGAAACCAAAGTTAACGCCAAAAAAATCATACTATTGAGCAAAGAATCGAGTCCAAATGGGGTCTTTCTGGGTGTGTTTCGCAGCGTTCATCGAGCAATGCCGCAACACGGGCGTCATTGCCTCCACGGCCGCCGCCATTGCCGCCTGCGCCGTCATCATCAACAAATGCCCCGTACCAGAGCCGGACGCAAGCGACAACATCGCGGCGCTCAGCCTGCAAGAAGAGCCGCCCCTTCCGGCTGTGGGTGAGTTGACTCATCTCGATGGTGTCAAACTGGCATCAAACGAGTGCAAAATCCGGCCGTCTTTTTGGCGCGTGTTGCAGCACTCGTGCGCGAATTTTAGCGCACTGAAAATGGCGGTAACTGAAAGCAATGTAAACTGCCCTCGGAGGAACCAACTGGATCTTGGACGCCTTCAATATATGCAGCGGCCTAATTTTGGTATAAATGACTGGGATGTGTCTTGCCTCTTGGTCCCACAACACGACTGTTCCACCTGCTTTTTGGCGTGGGGGTGAGGGAAAGGAAGTGGGCGAGAGGAAGGTATTCATACTGTTTCGAATTATTGCGTTTATCCATTTTGTGCAATTCAAGTTTGTTTATGATATTCGCAGTACTGTCAGGTTGCGAATCATGCTGACACTTGCTCATATGATAGCGTGAAAAGCGAACTTGACGATGATTAACATCCACGTGCGATGAAGATGGCCTCCGCTGCAGATGGTAGTTTTGAAGAACACATCAATACCAGCACTGCAACAATTACTGGATAGATACTATGCAATGATTAACGCACTCTTTAGAATACATTCCAGCATTGCCACTGTACAGTGTCACTATATTTCAGCATTGTCACTATATGGTGACAATATTCATTTACACCTCTGTTGCTTCTGGTCATTAGAAAATACAATTGTGAGTTTTTGCCGCTTGCTGCGCCAATGGCATTGTGTGCAGAGGTGCTCGAGGGCGTCCTGGACGAGGCCTGCCGCAGCCAAACCATCGAGAGCTGCAAGCGCAATGCGTTCAACTCTGCCACCACATTCGACCCGGAGTGTGCGCGTGTGCTTAATCGCGGGCCAGCGCTGACGGTCGTTGGCTGTGAGGACCTAAAAACGGCGAACCAGATATTTGCGGACGAGAATGCAAAGGTGTGCGAGGCCAGCAGTGGATAATTTAATTCTATTGATGCCAAGGGGGGCAGCTACTGCAATGGGCTGCTGTCGGGGGGAAGGGGGGGGGGGGGGGGGGGGATGATATTTTCGGGATTATTGTTGGTGGCTGAGAGCTCCAATTTCAGATCTTTAGATAACATGGGTTGATCAAGCTGCCTGAACGTGGGAACTTAAGGCCGCGGAGAAGCAATGGCTGGGCTGCGTCGTGCATGTTACGCTGTGGTGAGAATGCAGTGCAGCCTCGGCAGTGGGATCGCTGCATTGTCTGTCGCAACAAGGTGGGATGGAGGGGCAATAAGCACTGGATGTTTGTGTAGACGCTGGCAATGACAAAGCGCTGAGCCACAGCCGCGGCGCCCCCAGGCACAGTTGTGCGCACAGTCAATTTTGTCCGGTTCCTCACGGTTTGTGCCGATCACGTGGCGAGTCCGCTCCTGATGCAATTAGTCTGCAGCATCCTGGACTGGCGTGGTTCGATAGTTTAAATCTCGAACGTGAGGGGTTCTTTCAGGGCATCCAAGTCATTTGAGGCGCAAGACAGTGGATAACGGCATGGGAGATGCTTGCTTGAATGATTGCACTGGCTCACAATGTTAGGTCTCCACTTCGACAGCATCAGATTCAGATCGTTCTCCTTGCTTTGAAACTTCTTGGACCATTTCAGTGACCGTAACTGTGAAGGCAATCGCTTGGGCGCTTCCGTGTTGAGCATTGTCGCGATCCACTGCAGATCGCTCTCAGAACGATGGGGAAACGAACGAATATGGGACAACAGTGTTTCGCACCTTCACCATCTGAATGCTGTCATCTTTTCCATTTATATACGCATATGGCTTTATGCATTTATGTCTTTTTGCACACAAGCATTGCATCAGCATTTGCGCACCTTGGAGGAAAAGTCAGCCCTGTGCTCTGAAAGAGGTCCCCGAAACGCCCTGGGATTTGTCACAGGAATGTGCATTCGTGTCTGCTGGAGATCCCAACGCGTCGGAGCCAATCCCTTGCCAGCGTGTGCCAAAACAAACTCGCTATTTTCTTCGCGGCAAAAGGTGGCTTCCGTCGTGGGGGATGGCGCATGCCAAAAACATTTGGCCGTGTTTGGATACTCGTAAAACGCTATCGTCGCTGCGTTGAAGATCCCAGAATCTCAGATTTCCTGATCTCCAGTACGTGCACTGACGGAAAGCACCATAATTGTGACTCCAACTGCGATGCCATTTCGACACTAATTATCGCCACCACAGTGATTGCGATGCCGTAAATGTAGCTGTGATTGCGTCAGTCAGTTGCAAAGATCGTGGCCACGCCATGGCAAGACTTCTCCGGAGGGCAGCAGTGGAAGATCGACTTGAATTCAGTCGAATAGGGGCGATTTCAAGCGACGAAACGGCCAGAAACGGACAGGTCGATCATCTCACACCATTCGCACACAGGGCCTGAGTCCCTCCTCGAAAGGGACGCTCACTTGGCCTCACAGGTCCTCTCCTCACCCGGTGAGGAGGCCTGGCTGGCTGCAGCGGCCATAACCAATGCATGTTTCCAGACCGAGAGGTGCGTACATTGACAGCCCTCCGGTTTATATGCAAGTTCATGTCCGTTTCCAGCCACACACGCTGCAGAATATGCTATGGAATATTCCCTCTTTTCATGCACATCAAAACTTTCCATTGCTCTACGTCCCATCACCACACTGCACCTATGGGCTGTCCAAATCCAACCAAATCTTCCACCTATTGTCCAGTCACACCCCATGATCCGTATTGCATGCACTGGACACTGATTCTCATTGGATTTTTGCATTTGAAGTTCGTTGAACCCTAGCGCTGTCACACTACCGCCGCTGACCTGGAAGATACCAAATCTATGCCACTCAAGGCACTACAGCCATTGCAGTGTAGCCGTCAAAGATCTGGCAGGACAGGCGCAGACTTCGTTCGTATCTCATCACAATCTACCCTATTCTCATGGCTACAATTGATAGCAGCCTCTGCTATTCCTAAAGTACTTTAGCCATTGTTTCTTTCCAACGGCATCTGGCCCTTCAGTCCAAAAACCTTTCAAAAACCCGTCAGAAACAAAGGTTGCTTCTTAGGGTCCACTCATTCGTTTCTTTTCAGGACCCCCAATTCCTCAAAACTTATCAAAAAGACATAAATTTGTACCATTCAATTGCAAATGAAATTTGCAATTGATCTGTATAATCAGCTCCCCATAATGATTCTATTCAGACCATAACAAGACCCTAACCACATCCCAGTCAAGCACCCACGTGCTACGCTGCGCACAGTAGCCTAGCATACAGGGCGACATGACAGCGCCCGATCCTTGCCCGGTACGTGCACGTATTGCGAATCCCCTGGGTGCCCTGCTGAGCCAGCGCTCGGCGGTACAGGCGCCCACCACCACCTCACTCTCCACACTCGCACCCCCTTGCACCCCCTCCGCCCCACCGTCAGGTCGGCACATTTCCTCAAGGCAGGTTCCGCAAGCCCCCAACAGGTTGGGGCTGGGCTTCCGGTGGAACCCTCCGCACCGCACACACACGCGTTTTGGAAGCGCGGTTGCACCGTCTGCGTCTCCTCATCTTCGGGGGTCTTTCCCTCAAGCACTATCCTCAAGTGCGCTGCCTGGGCAGACGGCCAGAACTCCTGCCTCCCCATATCCCCAATACCTCCGGGCAAATCCCCTCGGGATTACAGCCTTCGCCTTCGCGGCCGACCCCATCCGATGAGTTCCCATAGGCTGAACCGCCCCATCAATGGGCATTGCTCCGGCCTTTTGATGCAGGGTCCATTAGCAGGTGCCCCTCGTCCGTTCGGATCAGTCGTTTGGCACGCGCGCGGTGTCTTGGACAGTCGCTGGGCATGCGGGTAGCTGGCATTGGGTGCGGGCCTCACTAGTCATGGTGCTTCCTTGGTGCTTCCCGCGCAGTGGGTGAATAGCTGGGTGGGATTACATGGCCGTTGTCCGCTTCTTAGCGTACATCCAGGCCCTAACCCTGACGGCACGTGTGGGTTCCCTGTGGCCTCATGGCAGGTTGCTTGAGGGGTGCCCTTCCGGTCTGTTTGCAAACTGTCGACCGAGGCCACACTGGCCTGGAATCCTGGGCCTCACGGGGCACCAGCTTGGTAGTATTCGCATAATATTTCATGTGGCATGGCAGCCATCTATTCATGTAGATTGGCTCCATTTATTGGTGCCCCGAGCACAATGTCAAATGGCATCACAGTTGGCATCGCACTAGTGCCGTTTTCTGTTGGTGGTAGACTCTTGCAATCCACGGCAAAGGACAAGGCTCAAGAGGTTGAAGTCTGCGCTCTGTTTGGGATGTCGCTCAAAGGTTGGACAACCTCAAGGTTATGTTGCAGGATTTGCTTGGCCATTTCGCCTCTGTTGGTGCTGGAGCCAAGCCTTTCATGCAAAGCTCGGCTCACAACCCATAAACTGTCGCCAATGTGGCCAACTCTTGCGCGCGGTCCACAATCATTTGCAGCCTAGCTGACATCGATGTCTTGGAGAGGCACGCGTTTGTCGATCTAACCATTCTTTCCGCCTCAATCCCCATGAAATTCCATGGCGACGTCAATTTCGCAATTCCCGTCCTAGCGACCATTATCCTGACCGTCCGTCGCCCGATTGGATATTGGCCATCGCCTTCTCTCGCACCTATTTAGGGTATCTGGAGGGCGCCCAGCCGCGTCCTATACTGCTTCGAGGAGGTCCTGATCAATTGCGCAGAAATCTAAGCTGAAAATGGAACTTCAACCCGGCAGATCGATCTCGCATTGCAGCCACAAGTCGCGGGATATTCCGCGATCACACTCGCCCCAACATGTCCCCTATCGGCCAGATTCCTTACAATAGCCTCACCAACATTTAGCTACGACTGCATGGATAGTTTTCAATGTTCAGCTCTGTTTGGTTCTGAGAGGGTGCGCTCTCCACCATCGCCAGAATGACTTAGTGGCCGACAGGAAATTCAAGATTATCGGCCAAGGATGCCAAAAAGCGAAGCGCCGCCTGACGCGCAACATCCAATGAAGTGGCTTGAGCTTTAATTGTATACTTTGAACTGAGACACCTTGAATGAAATTGAACGTCTCTGTGATGGACAATTAGAACACCGAGGTTTTTTTGTACATGTAATTAAAGAGGCGGGAAGCGCAACCTCAAGTTTGATATGTAATCTAAACCAGAATGTTGACCATCTCAATTGTCAGATTTACAGTTTTCATTACCAGAACTACGTGGTATTCGTGTCAGATATCCTGGTAGACAGGGTACCCAAAACGGAGCAATTTGAGGTCATGGATACTAACAAAAGGTCGCGCGGATGTGAACATGGTTGAGACTCTTGATTTAACGACGGGCGGTAAGCAGCTTGGAAACAAAACCCAAGAAACGGCAACATGGGGTCGAAGTAACAAAAGATGCATTGCAAAGGTCACAAATTGCAGTCCTCAAAAAACGTGGCAACCGGGGAAGCAATCGCAGTACAAATGATCTTCCCCAAGCGCCGTTGTGCATTTCCAGCTCTCGATATTTTCCCCGTGTGTCCAAGCAAAATGAGGTCACGAGGGTGTTTTGCACGTTCCACCCTCCATCCCTCAATTCCGGAGAAGTCCTACTCATTTGAGCGACGCCAGCTCCACTTTAGATCTGCACATCACCAATGATACCTTTTCCATTTCTGGCCGTCCGAATGGCTTGACAGCCATTAGCGTCCTTACCCACCGATTGGCGCAAGCGAAGAGCACAGAGGCGTGTCATAAATGGGCCATCATGGTGGCACCACATGGGCAGTAGTGCTCGATCTGGATACAGATTTCGAATCATTGATGCTAATGTGGATTTGGAGCCCAGAGAAAAGGCTGATATGGACACGTGTTAATAACAGCAGTGCGACATATGTACAATATCCAATTGCGCAGAGTCCCTGACGCATATCGTTCATGGCTACGTGTCTCTGCTCCCTGCATCAACTCCGTGAATGTGCGCCA